ACAGGGGTCACCGGTGACCGGCATTTAACTTGGCTGTGACGCCTTGGGGGCCACCGGTGACCGGCATTCCCAGATTGAAAAAAAAAATAAAAAATTTAGACAAATGACAATACTTATAATTTTTTATTATTATCATCGTTGATGTAGTGGTGTGAAGAAATGAATGCAATATAAAACATCTGAAAATAGTTTTATTTATACATGTAATATAGTTTTATTATGCGCACACGTTACGATGTGTCGTAAGGAAACATTCTAAACAAAGAAAGGATGAACCAGCACGATCTTTACTAATATGTCACGACTTTTTTGCTACAGTTTTTTGTAATTATTTTTCCTAGCTTCTTTGATTTTTTTTGGTAACAAATTTTGCAAAATCTTCGCACCGTTCGAGCTTTTCCCGGCATTGCTTTTAATTCATGTCGTGGTTTTCTCAGCTTTCACGTGAAGAAATGGAAACTTCAGCATCATTATCACAACATTTTGTTAAATACAATGCAACTTTCATTCTGAAGTCGGAAATTTGAATATCTTTTCTTGTTACCTGTTTGAATAATATCATTGAATTTACCATACATGTATTCAATAAGTGTTCTATTGCTAATTTTCTATACCACTTTAAAGTTTTGCGTAGTGGTGAATTATAAGCTATCATTTCGTTTGATAAATCGACTGATGATTTTCCTAGATTATATTCCACAACCATTTTTGGTTTTTCACTTTTTTCAATAAAATTTCTTATGTATAGTAGTCATTTCTGCAGAATGTTTCGTTCAAAGCATCAATACGTCTCTCTTGTCTTTCCATTTTAAAATTGTTATCTTAAAATAAAATAAATCCGGATTTATTTTCGCGGGTAATGAATTCTCCACGTTTTAATTTTTTGGTTACTACTTCTACTGAATTTCTACGTCGATTTTTCCGTAGTGTACCCATTAAATGTGGATTCTTTGCTATTAACTTTTCTGCCAGATTAACACTCATATATTAGTTGTCTGTGCAGACAGTATGCCCTTTACCCAATATATCTTTGCAAAGAGACATTACAATCTCGGACGATACGATTCCTGCTGTTTTATCTCTATTTTTTTCTTTTCCCCAGTATACTTGAAAAGGATAAGTATATACTGCACCACAACATAATTTAAAAACTTTAATTCCATATCGATGCTGTTTCAGTTTCAAATATTATCGAAATATTATGCGGCCTTAGAAGGGGACCAATGATTCATCTACGTATAATATTTCATCTGGATTGTAGTATTCTTTAAAACTTTTGTTTAATATGTCGATAATGTGAATAATTTTGGATAATCTATTACTAGGATCGTTTTCTTCATTGTTACTAAAATGAATGAACCGTAAAAGTAATTCAAATCGATTTCTCGGCATCACTGTACTTGGGAATGTTTGGTGATATTCTTCATTTCTACTCCAATACAGGTGAATTTTGGGTAATCGTACTAATCCCATCCATATAATTAAGCAAAAAAATCTTTTTATTTCATTCGGATTTGTTTTAATCCATCTATCAAGATGACGTGATCGCTGTTCAGATACTATTTTCACAGCATATTTATTTGTTTGGTTTGCAATTATTTCAAATATTTCATTCGAAACAAAAAGACAATAAAAACTATGAATTCAGTAAATTCAAAAATTTCAGAATTATGTGTATTGATTGTGCATTGATGAATTAAAAAATATAATCTTTGATTAATTACACGAAAGTATATGCCAATTTATATCAAGTACCTCTTCTTGTGTATTTTCATCATTATTACCATCATCTTCAAATTCGCTTTCACTATATGATTCAATTCGACGGTGACGTACTGAATATGATATTATTAATATCAGACAAACTGCTCGAGGAACTTTCCTCACTATCTGACAACACTCGGCATCGTTTGGAAGGATTTGGTAAAAATATATCATCAGTTGAATTGCTTGACGCAGAATCTTCATTTGAAATTATAACTTTATGGGTTAACTAAAAAATTAAATAGGAGATACGAAATGGAAAAATTTTTCTAGTATATAAAAATATAATAGAGGTTCTTACTTGATTATTTAACACTCTAGAAAATAATAAAATCGTGACACTATTACTCAACAATGCGAAGAAGCACTATGAGACAATTGACGATCGCGCGAAATCGTACTCACCAGTGACCCCCGCCGCAATTAAAATGCCAAACATGTTTATACGCTGTAACTTATCTATTGCAGATAATATTTCAACATTATATGTATCGCTAAATAGAAAATTTATCGTGGCGCCATGGACAATCCCATGCGCCATTAAAATTGGCGTGGCATTCAACCTGTTAAGGATTAATAAAGATAAGAAACAATGTCGCATACTATGTTCCTGTAATTAACGAAATCTTGTGAAGTATATATATAAAAGGATCGTGAGTAAACTATTTAAGTTCTTCTGGGTAACATCTATCATGTCAAAGAATGAAAAGTCCGAATCGGCACGTATTGCTTAGACGTATTGACGAGCAATAATAATGGTGACAATAAATTTTTATTATACAATTTTGTCTAAATCAAGAAAGTAAAAATTTAATTTATTTTTTTTTAATTATTATATGCCATTAAATAAAAATATGACTAAACAATATACGAACAAAAAGGCATTTCTCGACAAGTGTAATTTCCTATTCAAACGATTTTTATTTATTTTATGATATAATTCTATTTACGTTTGAATGAGGCCTCGTCTTTGAATTCATTCTCTTTTTTTTTTTTTTAATTCAGATATAAATATATTATTGCTTTGTATATTTTACATTCTTGTGAAAATAAAAGTAACTTTTAATATATTTATATATATTTCTCTCTCTCTCTTTCTCTTTCTCTTTCTCTTTCTTCCATATACTTGATTTTCTACTTTGATAAAATTTAGAGATAATGAATTTATTACTGTATATTCTTTACATGCTTGTAAAATATTATAAAAATATTTTATATCTTTATTTACTTTTTCTTTTGTATGCATAGTTTCACAAAAATTGAAATAAAGTTACTAGCTTTCATGCGGAAAATGTCAATTAATAATTAATTTACATTAACTCAAGGTTTTCAGATACAGAATCATCTGATCTATTTTGTATTATATATATGCCCGAATTCATTCGAGTGCCCAACTGTTACTCGTATGAATCCAGGCTGATATTTTATACATATTTGTTTATTCATTGATAAATTTTTTAATGACTGACAAATATTTTGCGTAAACTGCACTGTAATTTCTATAACGTTTGCATATGTGTGTGTGTGTGTGTGTGTGTGTGTGTGTGTGTGTGTGTGTGTGTGTAATACTTATAATATGGAATTTTTGCCGATATTTATTGAACAAGAATATTAATTAAAATTCGACAAACGTTGAGAATGTTTATAATATAGTATATGGAATAACTTCTAATTGATATTAAATTATTTATAATATCCAATGTGAAATGTTTTCATTGGTAAAACATTAGAATATTAATGAATAAAATAATAAACGAATAAAAGAACTTAAATAACTTTCTAACTATTACTTATATTAATTAATATCATTTGCCAAATTGATTGATACTATAATAACGCTATGAATGATTAATACTATAATAACATTATTCTTCGCATCCAAGCAGAATGTATAAGAATCGTGGAGTGATTGTATTGATGAGATTGTTTTTGCTTTTTTTTTAATATAAGATTAAGTAAGTAAGTAGCATACTTTTGAATGAATGATATAGTTTTTATTAGAAAGAGGCCTGGCATAAAAACGTGCGTGATCAATCGTCTACTCTGGGATTAATATTCTTTTTCTGTTGCAAATGTTATCATCAAGTGAAAAAAAAATGATTATTTAATAATGACTTGTCATCATGTCGTCAGTTCATTAATGTTCTTGATCAAATTTTTTGTTCTCATAGAATAAAAAGCTCATTGAAAAATTTATACATACACATATATACGTGTCATGCGTCAGCGTACATGTGTATATTTGTGTGTGTGTGTTTTTGTGTGTGTGTGTGTGTGTGTGTATGTGTGAGGGCCATTTATAATATCAAGATATATAATTGTATATAGTTTTTTTAGGTATAGTTTTTATAGGTATATAGTTTTTTAATTGAATATAATTTAAATATAAATTTAATGATAATCAATGTTTCATTTGATAAAACAATTAATGAAAGGATATTAATTATCTCAGAACTTTTTCTTACTTGTGCCTTAATATTTAATATATGTATTTATGTAACGTGTATGTGTCTTTTGAAGTTTACAGATATATAGATTTAATTAAATATAATTTCAATACATATCTAATGAATTAGTATTTGATATGAAAGAAAAAAATAAATAAATAGGAGAATATTAATCATTTTAAAAACTTTTTATTGATTGATTTTGTGCTAATATTTGTATTTATGTAAACATATGTTCTTTGAATATCAAATATAGATTTAATTAAATATAATTCAAATATAAAAATCTGAATAAATTGTTGGCAGTGTACGCAAAAAGATTACTAAAATTATAAAAATTATTTTAAAATCTACTTTTTACTAATACTTTATTTTTTATTAATATATGCGTTTATGTAAACATGTGTGCTTTTTTAATTTCATATATAGACTTATGAAATATAACTAAAATACAAACATAATGAATAAATCTAACTTTGAAAAAATAATTAATTAAAAAATATCAATTGTTTTAAAAACTAACTTTCAATATAAAATTTCAAATATAGATTTAATCGAATATAATACTACAAATGTAATGTATTGTATGTGTTACTTTTAATGTAAACTTATCAATTTATGATTGATTCTAAAATACAAATTTATTAAGTTTTCAAAGTCATTCATTTTCAAATATGAATGAATAATTTCTATATCTAACTGAAATCTATAAATAAATTTCAGCTTTGTTGTTTTGAGTTTGTTTTCCTTTTTAATTTAATTTTTTTGAATTTGCTTTTTTTAGTATAATTTATTTTAGTTTTTTTTGTTTTCGTTTTGATTGTTTCTATTTCACTTTTCATTGCTTTGACATGTCTAACAAAAAATAAAATATTATTTTAAATTACATAAATCAACACTCAGTTAAAAAACTTAATTCCAAAGAAACTATATTTTTGAACTTTATCCTCAGAGCAATGTTGAACATTATGAGATGTTTTTAATTAAAATATAATATTCTTGGAAAAACGTTAGTGTACATGCTATACTGACATAACGCATCGAAAACCAAGATTTCCTGCAGATGTATCAGGAGTATTTTGACTACGTGCAGCACATCTATATCGATAACAATAGCTTTTGTGGCATAAGTAGGAACCACCTTTTTTTACCCTGTCTGTACCACTCAGTGGCCCTTTCTAAAACATTTAGTATAAAAAAAAGTTCATATTAATAATAATGAAAATACAAGTCACATTCATTCACTCTAAATTATTATTACTCACAGGATTTTTTGTTTGATCACTTGTATGCTTTGTGAACCACCAATCTGACGTCCACTCCCAAACATTACCAACTATGTTATGTAATCCATATGAATTTGGTAAAAATTTGGTAATCGGAGCAGTACCAAGATATCCATCTTCTTGTGTATTATTATATGGAAATTCTCCTTGCCAAATATTTGCTCTAGAAAAAAAAAAGTAAGTTTTTAAATGTATATAACCACTCATGCATTATTTTTTATTTAGAAATAGTTCAATACCTAAACTCTTTATTAGGAGTTAATTTATTTCCCCAAGGAAATAATCTGTCTGATAGACCTCCTCTACATGCAACTTCCCATTCTGCCTCCGTTGGTAATCTTTTATTCAACCAACTACAATATGAGAATGCGTCATTCCAAGAAACATGAATGACTGGATGATCCATCCTGACTGAATATTAGTAAATTACATATATGCAATGTTTATATGTTATATATTACTAATATTTTAATCATAAATAATACATGTTACACTATAAAATAATATTTTAAATTCTACATACAAAAAAGCAAGGATAATAAATTATATTGTAATATCTTATTTATGACTTGATAAACTTACAAGTTATATTTGACTTAGGTCCCTCAGGATGTTGCCATGTAGCACCTTTTACAGGTAGCCACCATGGTGCTTGAGCCACTGCTTCTTTTATTTCCCTCTTAACATTTTCTTCTAAAAGACCTTCAAAAACGAAAGAATCTCCAAATTTTTCTGCTTCTGTTTTATATCCAGTTAAACTCACAAACTCAGAGAAATCTTGATTACTAACTTCAAATTTATCTATGTAGAAATCATCCAGAACAACTTCTCTTTTTGGTCCTTCACCATCCGCTACAAAAATTGGATTGTTTGTTCCTATCGAAAATGTACCACCATTTATTTTTGCCATTTTTTCAATACTTTGTCTTTCTTTATCGTCCCTTGTCTCCAACTTTTTAATATCATTCACTGAACATTGTTCTTGTCGATTTTGAGTAAAATGTGATTGTCTATTTGCTTTGCTTCCACAATGAGTATTTTCTTCATTAGAAAAACAAATAATTATAAACAATAAAAAGGATATAATCCATAACACAACATGTCGTAGGTTAGACATACTTAATACTATAAAACGTATAACTCGTGATATGCGATATTGTGGTTACTTTCTATTTAAAAAGAAAAAACGAATGTGGTTGTCTATTTGCTTTTAAAGATATGTAATTTAATCAAACATCTGTGTCAAGAAAGTCTCTATGGTATCTGTCATATAAAATGATATAATGCTATATTCTAATTTAATATGTAGTTTTTAAAATGTTTCAGAAATGTTTCTCAATACAAAATAATGTATAATTAAAATGAAAAATAAAATTGTATTTTTCATGTAGAATTTATTTTATTTAATTATATTTGCAAATCCACTTGTAGAATTGTAATATCTAATGTAATTTATATTTGAGGTTACCGCTATTATTTAAATAATTTCAAATACGTCATAGTTGTTGAATGCATCTTAAAATTTGAATGTAGAGCGCGCTGTATACGTTCATGGTCTTTTTTACCAACATACTTCTACATAGTCGATAGCAATCGGTGGTAATGTGAACTGATTATAACCTATTGTTTAATGCCACGTATATTTATGTGCCATGTTTAAAAGTTAAAATTTTGCGACAGAAATAAAATCATGGATATGACTATAATAATATTTTAATGTTTAAATCTATAAAATAATAAATAGTGAATTATATTCTGTGACAATAGATGATTTATTGTGTAAGATGTCGAACAGTCAACATTCCAAGCTACTTATTTGTGCTGCCGGTATTTTCATATGTTACTTTTATTTTGGCATGCTACAAGAGAAGATAACGAGAGGTCAATATGGTGATGAGAAGAATAAAGAGAAATTTACTTATATGTTTGCTCTCGTTTTTACTCAATGTTTGGTTAATTACATGTTTGCTAAGATGATTTTATTAACGGTTATGAAACAGGGCGAAGATACAACACCTACATTATATTATGCTATTTCTTCTTTAACGTATCTGCTTGCTATGGTCTGTAGTAATATGGCTTTACAATTTGTAAGCTATCCAACTCAAGTGATAGGAAAATCTGGAAAACCCATACCTGTTATGGTACTCGGTGTATTATTGGGCAACAAGGTGAATTAGATCAATTTGTTTTAATTCAACAAATTAGAATCAAATTATTTTGAGCAATCTAACCAACAAATTCTATTTTCTTTTTACAGGTATATCCAATCAGAAAGTATGCTTTTATATTTTTAATCGTGATTGGAGTTGCTTTATTTATATATAAGGATGGAAGTGCAAATAAACAAACAGAAGGACAAACGTGGTTTGGGGAGTTACTACTTTTGTTATCATTAATGATGGATGGATTAACAAGCGCAGTACAAGAACGTATGAGAGCAGAACATAAATCTAAATCTGGCCATATGATGCTCAATATGAACCAATGGTCTGCCGTATTTAGTGGCATAGTAATCCTTATCTCTGGAGAATTGTTTGAATTTATTAAATTCTTACAACGTTATCCATCTACTATTTGGCATATTTCAACATTTTCTTTGGCTGGAGCATTTGGACAGTATTTTATATTTTTAACAGTTGCTGAGTTTGGTCCATTACCATGTTCCATAATAACTACTACTAGAAAATTTTTCACTGTCTTAGGATCTATATTAATTTTTGGTAATAGTCTCCTACCTAGACAATGGATAAGTACATTTATAGTATTTATGGGTTTATTTTTGGATTCCATGTATGGCAAAGATAAACCAAGCAGAAAGGAAACAGTTAAATAATTATACTTTATAAAGAGAAAATAATCATTGTTCCTCAAGTATCTCATTTTATTCAATCTTTGTTAGATTTATTTGATATCGAGATACATACAAAATGCCTTTTATCAAAGTACACTTTCTACTATGCCAATGGAATTAATTACTTTTTTATGTAGTAGATACAAAATATTGAACCAATTATACAAAGAATGTATCTATAATATATATCTAAGAGACTTTATTTATAATAACTAAAAATATTGTCTAAAAAACGTGAAATATTTTAAATGTGAATGAGATAGGCACAAATGTTAGATATGAAATTCTTCCAAACATAAATTTTTTATATAAACATACAAATATTACAAAATTATGGAATTCTTTTTATTTGGTCTTATATTTTTTTGAAAGAAAGAATTGTAGAGATCGTAATTTGTAATCAAAGGTATATTTGTTTTCATTGATACTTATTTTTAAATATTGGTACTACTCTACTGTTATATTCATTTTATATATTCGGTGCCCTTGCATATATATATATATATATATATATATATATATAGAGTATAATTTTATGTAAAAAATTCTGTACCTTATATTAGGTTTATTAATTTTTTTGCTCTCTTATATTTCTTCTCTTCCTTGAATATCTTCCCGATAGTCTCATTTAAAAGTAGATTAAAATACAAAAACTATATAATATAATTCATGATGATGCAATGAAATACCTTAACTACTGTATATATCGTAATATTCTTTGCACCACATTAATCTAATTAAATCCTATTCCTTTCACAAAGAGATAACAATATATCCCATATTATAAACTATGATCTTCATAATAATTTAAGAGAATATCAAAGGTGTATATACATTAAGGTATATATATATATATATATATATATATATATATATATATACATATATATACATATATATATATATGTATATATATATATACGTATCGTTGAAATTAATTACTGAAATACAGTAGGACACGATTATACAATGTTATCGTATACAAATGATATATACGTAAATGTAGATATATTGCCAATCTTCGTCAATATAAAACAATCTATCATTCCTATCGGATTTAATTAATTACCTGTAAATTTTATTGATACTGAATTTTAACATTCCTTCGAGGGAATTTCCGAGTTTCAATCGACCGATTAAATTCAACGAGTCACAATTGTGTTTCTTTCTTCTTGTTTTTTTTTTTTCTTTTTTTTTTTTTCTTTATCCTCGCATATATTATATGTAAAGATAATAAAACATAATTATAGAATTAGAGAAATATATTTTAAATATGAGGATCGTCGAATTAGTCCAAGGTTCAAAATGATCACGAAATTGCCAATGAATATCAAGATCAAGAATTAAGATAAGTAAGAGGGATTGGTGTGAGGAAGGGGAGGAGGAAGAGGAAGAAGGAATAGAATAATGTAAAGTTAGAAGATGGAGAGGCTGGGATAGGGTTGAATAAATAAAATAATCTATTCCGATCTCTCTGAATAACTACCAACACATATGAGAAAATCGATAATCAAAGTTATCTACGCGAATACTTTTGTACAATATATATATCCTATTTTGCAACAGTCGAATGACACACCGAAGATAAAGTTGTGCACGTACAAGTTGGTAAAGAAGCGGTAAGGGGGAGGAGGTAAGAGGGACTCGTAATCAGCTAAGTCTATCATAAATGCCGGAGTCGCTGCAAAAGAAGCAGTTTAGCGTAGGTAGCCGCTTTGGTTGTCTTATTATTCAATGCCGGTGTCATCATCCGTAGTGTAAGATTAAAAAAGTAGACAACTAAGTGTGTGTTAGATCGATAACGTGTTTCTTAAGGATTTATAATTTATATACATTATTACGAGAGTTATGAGATTCTTCGTACTTTCTACCTTCATATTAGTCGGTTATTTATCCACGTGCTTGCAGTTAGTGCAAGCGCATCGTAACGATAATGCTGGTGAGTGTGATCCTTGATCGTGAACTTCGTTTTCATCGATACATTTGAAAAGAAAAACATTACAAAAGAAAAAAAAATATATATATATTATATAATTATAATAATAATAATAATAATAATAATAATAATTAATAAATAAATAATCGTTAAATATTTCTTCAAGTTTTTCGACATATTTAAAGTATATAATTTATAGTAAGGAATATATGTAGATATATGTTAGATATACATATAGATATACATGTATATCGATCGAAAGTCATCATCATTTGAAGGACGCTCACCAATAAGTGAAAAAATTTGATGGAAAGCTATCATTATTATCGTTCTCATTGGAGTTTCACATTATAGTTTCGGTATCATGTTATTAAAGTAGGAATATATGTATGTACATATGTATGTATATATGTATATATGTATGTATGTATGTATGTATGTATGTATGTATGTATGTAAACGTATATTGATCGGGAGTCATCGATCATCCATTAGATAAGTGAAAAAATTCGATCAAGAGAGAGAGAGAGAGAGAGAGAGAGCAATCATTTTATTATCGTTCTCATTGGAATTTGTAGTTTCTTCAAACGGCGACATATATATCACACGGGAAAATCCTATCAGAAGATAATTTTTACTCCATTGGATATACCTTATTTTCTTTTTCTTTTTTTTTTTTCTTTTTTCAACTTACTCGCTTCGCTAATAAGATCTCATTTGAGCGAATACCTTTAAGGAAGTCAAAGACGAATTTTCAAAAAAATGCGTCGTTTCTTTTCTTTTCCCCAATTGTAAGGATAATTTTACATTCGACGCACTACGTTCGAAGAGAAGAAAAAAACAAAGAGTTAATAATATTGCGAACAAAAGAACGCGGAGAAAAAGACGTTTTCCCGAATACACACATCCAGATCTTTGTGATTTTCAATCATTATTTCACGCGGTACATACGTGGAAAAAATATTATTGCAAAAGACGAAAAATTGGACAAACTTAAAACATCCTAACGAAGAACTTTTCCGTGCTTATACGTGTGTGTGTGTGTGTGTGTGTGTGTGTGTGTGTGTTTAGGATTATAACGTATCAATGCATTATTCAGATATGGCGAATAGCTTAGCGTTTTGATCAGTATCTCCATCGTCTTCGTATTTTATTAACAAGCTCTTTTCGATTGAACGATCTACGTCAAATTATAAAAAAAATACACGATATCATTTATTTTTAATTACATATAGTACAATAATTACACTGAAAGAAGTTATATAAATAAATCAATAAGTAAATTCAAGCATAAGAAAAAAACTTTTATTGTCGCATTAATTGAAGTATTAGTAGTAGAAAAATAATAATAACCTTTATATTAAACTCGAAGAGTTTTTTCTTAGAAATAATGATATTTATATATTGTAATATTGTACTAACATATACTGACTAAACAAACTAACCAATAACATAAATTATTTCGACGAAAACGTAATTTATTATAATGATAAATAAACATTAACTCTAAACTAACAATATGTAAAACCACAAATTCCATTCTTTTGTTGCTATTAAACATTCTTATATGTACTTACGTATTCTTGACGTCGATAAGAATTAATCCGAAGAAACGGTTGTATGTAACAAGAAGTATATATATATACATATATACACGTGTATGTGTGTATGTGCGTATTACGAATTATAACTCATCAAATACATTACTGGTCGTTTTAGAACTGGTGATCAAGGAAATCGAGGAAAGTCAGAAGAATTGTACGCCTCGATCGATCAATGACTTCCCAGAGGACATCTTTACGCCAAAACAACGTGAAAAGGGGGCGGCTCTGTTACACGCATTCTTTGGCTTTTATTGCTTTTTATTGACCGCTTTTGTCTGCAACGATTATCTCTTACCAGCACTCGATTGCATCTGTTCCGGATTGAATATCTCAGCTGATGTTGCTGGTGCCACATTTCTCGCTACCGCCAGCTGTTTTCCAGAATTATTCGTCAGTATCGTTGGTACCTTCTTAACTGAATCTGACCTTGGCGTTGGTACCGTAGTTGGTAGTGCGGTATTTAATACTTTTGCTACTACAGCCTGCGGAGCACTTTCAGCTATAAAAGTAAGTAGTAATCCAGATTTTCTTTATGTTTCTTTCTTTTTTTTTTTTTTTTCATCTTTTGTATGTATGCGTATGCGTATATTTTTCTTTTTGTTTTTGTTTTTGTTTTTGTCATGGTCAATTCGATTTATCTCTATCTAACGAGCCTACATAATAAGAAGATAACATTAATAGTATTTTAGCGAAATAATTATATCCTGTGAGTCGACTGAACTTCCAAACCGGTTAGCAAACTTCTTCCTTATTCATTTCCTTCGATTCTGTTTGCTCATTATATACTGCGATTATTATCCTTCGATCAATATGTATACGATGAGATGATCGATTTTTCATGTTCGTTCAACGACAGAAAATAAAAGCTATGATAAGATTTCCCCGTTTAAAGATTTATACCGATAAATGGGGGATTTTTTATGTGTAATTTAGAATAATCATAAATCGATGAAAATCTTACGAATCATTATTTATCATAAAAGAATCGTTATTGTGTACTTCAAATTGTTTCTTTTATATGTGGAGCTTTATTTTTTCTTTCTCTTTTTTCTCTTTTTCTCTTTCTCTTCGCATTGAAATCTATGAAGGTCATGTATATGCTTTATTTTATATGACAGTAAAGGACCATTATTATAATCTTAAAATATTAAAAAAAATGCATTTTAGAATGTATTTTTTAAATAGTTGACCTCTATTTATCATCTAATTAGCATTGCTTTTGTAGTATATTAAGATAAGAGGTAATGCTGGCAACTAAAGTATATAATATATGCAACTATATAAGTAGATAACTATTGATGTATATGATATCTATATATTCGAGCATATATGTACATAGAAATGTACATATACAAAAGTTATATAATTATATTCGCATATAATCTAATAAAATATATTGTGTGCATTATCGATAATAAATATATATATAATAAATATGGAAATATATATATATATATATATATATTTCCATATTTATTATATATATATATTTATTATATATATATTTATTATATATATATATTTATTATATATATATATTTATTATATATATATATTTATTATATATATATATATATTTTCATATATATATTTTCAGCCAGACTTTATGACATAACTTCCACGGATAAAATTATACAATATTAATTCGTATTCGTAATTAATTCTTTTTTCCTTCTTCTTTCTTTATTATTCGCGATTAAAAACTAAAGAAAAAAATAAATTGATAAAATTTCGATTATTTGAGATATCGTATTGTCTTTCAACGGTCAATATTTTCGATAAGTGAATCCAATATCTCTTCATGAGATGGAATATAGTATTATTAATAAAATAAGTATCTGCTTCTTCGTCGTCGTATCGCCATCTAATCGAACTCAAAATTTAATCGATCTGACAATATCTCAAAGAAAAAATAATTTTGCTGAAAACATTGCGTCGTTGATATCAAGCGCGAATATTATTTAAAATTTCAATAATCGATTCATTACAGAAAAAAAAAGAAAAAAGAAAAAAGGAAGAGAAATCTAATATAGCTGCGCATCTTTATGATTAGAACCATCAAACTAGTTGTAATTAAGCAAAGATACGTAAATACATATACTCATAGATACATACCTCCTTCCTTGTTGACTGTGTAATTTTTAAAATGACGATGACGATATATGTACATATGTTGTACAATTTATACGATTTATATGTTAATGTAAGAAATAAAAAGAGAGAGAAAAAAGAAAATAAAATTCGGATTAGTTAATAGAAAGAAAAGAGAGAGAGAGAGAGAGAGAGAGAGAGAGGACATGGGATTAGAAATATTCAAGTTCTTTCTATTTTAGTCAAAATCTTTCTTTATTGCATACGAACGGATTCGAAAGAATGTGGTGTCGATAAAGTTTAAACGGCGCTAGTGGATAATCGATATTCAATTATCGTAGGTAAATCTTATTTTATCATATCTCTCACAACTACGTGTTAGAAGAGAGCCGTGCTAAGATAATCATCGACGCGACCACGAGACGACAATGGTCGACATCGTGCGTGTTACGTTATTATTATTGCTCCGAGACATTTTCATGATAATAAATCCGACGAAACGAATTCGTGACTTTAACGTCTAACGATCCGAGCGTTATATCTCTAACAAGATAGGACGACGAGGAGGAGGAGCGCGGCGATAGGTAATATTATTTAAAAACCGGGAAGCGATTTTTTTCTTCTTTTCATTTTGTTGTTATTGTTATTTGTTTTTTTCTTTTTCTCTTTCTTTCTTTCTTTGTTATTACTAATTTTTTATTTCTTTCTCCGTCTCAAAACGATCATTCTCACTGACACGCGGCGTGACATTCGTGAGGGACATGCAAAGCGCATATAATTTTTTTATCATCGTGGCACGAAATACAGTATATATCTTTTGTTTTCTTTTTTTTTTTTTTTTTTTTGTTATTTTTTCTTTTTTTTCTTTTCTTTTTTGTTCTTTGATTTTGTTTCTGTTTTCTTTTTCGATTATTATCAACGATAATGCTCTACGAAAATCACGTCGGTCGGATCGATCGCACCTCAAAAGAACTCGATTTTACGTTAAATTGCTTGTGATCCTTATCGATTTCTTTTTTACAAGTCACATGTATGTACATATACATACGCATATACATATACATATACATATACATATACGTATACATATGCATATTCATATGCATATCATATACATATGTATATATATATTTATATGTTTGTATGTGTATTATCAGAATCCCACAATTAAGTTTTTTCTTTGCAAATATTTAATAGGGTATACAGCTAGAATGGCAAATACTGTCGCGCGATTGCATAATCTACGTGATATCCGTTGGTTCGTTGGTATTGGTTATGTGGGACGGCCTGATCACCTGGTACGAAGCAACGATCTTCATGATATTGTTCGTTGGTTATTTGGTCCTTCTGTTCTGCGGCGAAGGGATCACACGTTGGTATAAGAAGATCAAACATCTTTGTTGGAACGGTACCGAGTTTTCGGAAGAAAGTGGTGAGTTTCACACTTGTATTGATTTTATCTCTTTCTATCTCTCTTTCTCTCTCTCTTTTGTTCTTTTTCATTATTATTATTATTTACTATTATTATTATTATTTATTATTAATATTATTATTAATATTATTATTATTAATGTTATTATTATTAATATTATTATTATTATTATTATTATTATTATTATTATTATTATTATTATTATTATTATTATTATTATTATTATTATTATTATTATTATTATTATTATTATTATTATTGTTATTATTATTGAATTTGTTTTCGTCTATCTATTGTCGGAAACATGGCGGGAAATAAGAAAATTCCTCGTGGCATAATTAATTTTCTTATTGTTAGTGACTTCGAAGCCGACGACCGATCCTATGGTGCACGGTATGTACAAGCCATACGTTCACGGTGAACTAATTGCCGAATATAGGAAAAAGAGTATCACGAAGATGGCCGAAATTAAGTCGACCAATAAGAATTTCGAAGAATCATCGGAGAATAAAGAGGAATTGGTCGATTATGTCGAACCCGGTAAAGTTTTGGACGATGATATTTAATTGTAGCTCTTTCAAACTTTGTTGAAAAAAGTTTTGTCATCTCCTTGTCTATTTCCTTTCAATATTTTCAATATTTTCAATATTTCTCTTCTTTCAGATACACCGTTCGTTTTACCAAAGTGTAATTTGGTAATGAAGTTATGGTTTTACTTTACCTGGCCTTTAAAGATCTTACTATTTGTCACCGTACCAGATACCAGATACAAAAGATTTCGTTCGTGGTATCTTTTAACTTTCTTCATTTGTACCATGTGGATCGTAGTGTCATCTTACATGGTATCTTGGATGATGACAGTCGTCGGAGACACCATGGGAATCCCTGATTCCGTTATGGGAATAACGTTTCTATCGGCTGGTGGTAACATGCCCGAACTTGTCTCGATCGTTATTCTTTCCAGGCAAGGTAAGTAACAAGAACGATTAAATTTTCTTTTTTTTTTTCTTCTTCTTTTTTGCCTGTATTAACTTTATATCTTACTTCTTTTTTTACTTTTATCTCACTCGCATGATCATCTTGCTTGACAAATCATAATAAATATTAACAATCGGATTATCAATCGTTCGGTAATCGTTCTATCTTCTTCATTCTAATCTTTTTTTTTCTTTTTTATACTTTCAAGGTAACGGTGACATGGCTATGAGCAATACATTGGGTGCTAATACTCTTGATATTCTTTTGTGTTTGGGTCTACCATGGCTGATAAAAACTTTAATGTCGGGTAAAGACGTCGAAATCGTATCCGGTGCTCTCTCTTATAGTGTTCTATCTATAATTATTTGCGTTATATGCTTCTACTCTATCACAGCTTTTTATAATTTTAAGCTGAACAAAAAGGTTGGCGCCGTTTGTCTCGTAATGTACGCAATATTTCTTATATTCGCGATATCAGTTGAATTGAACGTATTCTTTCACGTTAATTGGCCAATGTGCGATCGATAGTCAAAGATCGAGTTTATCGACGATTGTCGTTATGTTCTCGAATATGTTGTGATACAGAAATACACACGAAATCGAAGTGAAAGTAAGAAAGTGAGAAAGATAGAGAGAGAAAGAGAGAGAGAGAGAGAAAGAAAGACAGACAGACAGAGAGAGAGAAATATAACGAGATAATTATTTATATGTATAATGTGTACGTGTGTGTGCATTTGATTGAAATGAATGATAACAAATAATACTCATGTCGGGTAGACTTGAAAGGGTGCAACTAAATTCGTAGATTTTTAAAAATCGAAATAATATAATTTGAATTTAAAAGAAACGGGAGGAACAAATAAGAAACTAAAGAGAAATTAAAAAAAAAAAAATGAAGAAATAAAAGAAAAAAGAAAAAGGCATCGCATGTACGATCGCAAGATTTAATTCGAATTTTTCTTTGCATTGCGAACAATATTAATAATACGTTTAAAAAAAAATTTTAATCGACAAGCTCGAAAAATACAATAATATCGAAACTGAATGTATCGTGACTAACGAAATGGGTTTTTTTTTTGTTTAAAGGAAATCGTTTGATCTTCGTTCG